GTTTCCACACTTTGCAGAAAACAACTCGTCTCCTGTGCAAAAGGCCGATGAAATGTTGATATAATATTTAATTATAAGGTTTCTTGTCAACAAATAAGAGTTACGTGCACATTTTTGCAACAAAAATCTGCTGTGTTTATTCATATTTGAGACCTATCATGTATGCTAAATGCATTTCTTTTTTAATAAAACATTTGTGAAGAAAACGTCATTAACATTTTTAACGTGCATGTCTGTAGTGGTCTTTCTGGTGCATGATGGCGAACAGTAAATCAGTGGAGGAGTGTAAAACCAGTGGCAGAAAGGTGTAACTATCTATTTGCATGCCCAACAAGAAACTAAAAAGTGGAATCATTCTCTGCTCTGTAGTGCTACAAGAGGTCAAAAAGTCTCTCAAGAGCTCTAGAAGGGTTTAGATCTAAAAGAAAAGCTTGTTTTTATTATTTGAATTCAGGGAAACTGTGGACTAGAAGAAGAACAAAATTTAATACCAAGGAATTTGGTGGATTTCATTTTACCATTGCAGCAGCGTCCCGCACAGCAGATGCTTGTGAAAAGCTCGACATGGCGGTACAGCGTGATGCAGCGGGGTGGCCTCCAGTTTACAGACGTGATCAATCTACGAGCGGGACTTTCAAACCTCACAGCAGCCTCGAGCATACGTGACAAAGAAACTGAAAACATACTGTAGATGTCTCCTGCCGCTGAAACTCATTCACTCTCGACTCTCCCCGTCTGTGCGCCGCGATGCGCTTGGTGGCAGGGTGCGCCTGGAGGCCGGCGCATTTAAAAAATTCTTTCTTTTTAACTCCCTGCCTTCTGCTTAAAGCACAAGTGCACAGAGAGGGAGAGAGAGAGAGAGAGATTGCTGGAGGCGAAGCAGCTTCACAGAGAAGTGGAGGCCTGCAGTCTTCGCCCTTCTCCTCTTGTCTCGTCTTCCTCCTCTCCTCTCGTTTCTTTACATTTTGCATTCTCTTCTCTTTTTTTTTTTTCTCCTATTCATTTCCCCCATTTATCCCTCTATTCTCCTTGTATTTTGTCAATTTCAGCTTCCCACCAAAGTTGCCTTTTATGTTTCGCTCCGTATTTGTGCCTCTCTTTGTTGAAATCTCACATCCTCGCTGCAGCCAGTCACTTTCCCACTAGCTCCTGTAACTCAGCATAATCTCTCTTTGTGCCTTTCCCGTTCAGTTTGGTTTTCTATCCAGAGTAAAGAGTGCCTTTCTACCATATAGCGCTTCATACTAGAGGTTATATGTGCGAAACAATATCATTTGCAAGGTAGTTTGTGCAGCACAACAGCATGCCTTTGCAACTTCTTCTGCATCCTTGATTCCCCACCGATGCTCTTTCTTCCTACTGTCGTTACGGCTGTGAATTAGCGCGCTATCAACCACAGCCATAAAATTCACAAGGCCCTTTAGAAGCGATCTTATTCTCAAGCAAGTGGAAAATTTAAATCGGCAAAGCCACATCTGAATTTGAACTCATGTTACAGTGCAGCTATCTGGCTCCAGCTGCCGCCAGTGACGGTTCAAAATCAATCACTGGGTAAAAATGAGAAGCATATTTATGTCTCACTTCTCTCTGGAATCAAGACAGCGTTATTTCTGAAAAGTGTAAACTTTAATGTGTCGCATGTTAAAAGCCTGACAGGTGTAGCGGCAGTAACCGAGGTGGATGGGGCTCGGCAAACAGTCGATAAGATTTTGATTACAAATACAAGCCTGCTGCCGTGTGTTATGTGCTGTCCGAGGTGGTTTGTGCTCCGTGTACGTCTCCCAGTATAACAGAGAATATCAGGCAGCAGTGTGTTCACCTCTAGTGAGTGATAAATCAAGTGCAGTACAGATGTGTGTGTGTGTGTGTGTGTGTGAGACGGAAGGCATTTTCGCTTACTCCTTAAAAAAAAAAAAAGATGTGTGCGCATACAATACGCTCCTGGTACGAGGGGCTTTCCACCTTGAGGACAATTTGCTCTGACGGCACATGTCAATAAAGAAGAGGAGATGGGGTTAAAACAAATTTGATGGAGGAGGGGGAGGAGAAGGGGGATCTTGGTGCAGTGCCAACTCTGAGGTCATCTTAAAGGAGACACGTTGTGCTTTTCCTTGTTTTTATTCACGTGTGTGATGCTACAATGTCTGGTGGCCAAAGTTTCACAAATAAAGGCAAATGTACGTAAAAGCGCTCCCTGTAAGGAAAAATAAAAGCTCCAGACTGCTCTGAGGTGTTTCCCACTTTGAGCTGTCTTTATTTTCATGTGCTCCAGGCACAGCGATGGAGTAAAACTGCAAGCTTCATTGTAAATGCATCGACACTTTCTCGCAAAACTCCAGCATGCAAATAACCGACGGTGCAGGGAGACGCTACGTAGTCATTTGGTGACAAGAGAAAAACATTTTACCAGTTACACAGCCCACCTCCACGAATAGGGCTCCTGTACAACTAATCCGCTTTCTCAATTACACTTTGAAATAGTTTTTCACCTATGACAACGTAGGTGAGGGTTCTGGTTTAAATAAGACACAAAGTTCGAGAAAGGAGGGTTGAATGGTAGCTAATGAGGGACAAGAGACATTCAGTCTTGAGTCAAGTTTCGTCTCCACTCATCGTCTACTTTGTGGATTTCACTCCATGTCTGGTTCGGTTGAGGCACCAAAACTATTTGGTTATGTTTTGGAAAATATTGCAACAAATAACTTAAAGTGCAGTTGAAGATGAAGCTACCGAAACGTAATTCTGTTGGTTTGTTCCTGACAGCAGATGTTTTCCACTTCTTTTAACATTTTCTCACACTTACATATATTAACAAAGAAACATCATGGACATGCAATATGTAAACCGTGCAACCTTGCTGCAGCTTTCAAGCAACATTGCGCCCATTCAAAGTTTTTGTATGAGCCATCCATCCATTATCTATACACCGCTTAATCCTCACCAGGGTCATGGGGGGCTGGAGTCTATCCCAGCTGACTCAGGGTGAATGCCGGAGACACCCTGGACAGGCCACCAGTCTATCACAGGACTACACTTAGAGACAGACAACCAAGCACACTCACATTCACACCTACGGACAATTTAGAATCACCAATTAACCTCAACATGTCCGGAGAACCCGGAGAGAACCCATGGGGAGAACATGCAAACTCCACACAGAAGGATCCCGGGTGTCCTCACCGGGATGCGACCCGGCGACCTTCTAGCTGCGAGGCAACAGTGCTAACCGCCGCTCCACCTTGCAGCCCAACAAAGAAACAATGAAGTTTAATATTAACCAATCCAAGCTGAAGGTGTCCCTCTGTAATATGTTTAATGTCTACTTTTGTATTCCGGATTGGATTTGATCTCAAACACATATGGATGGATTTAAGAAGTTGCCATTTTCAATCTTTTTTAGGGTTACAGGGTTTGCTTTTGGAACTTCTATGCTTTGCTCACAAACATTCGGTGCTGCCCCTCAGCAGGCTTCCAGCCGCTGGCCAATCAGAAAGGAGTGTGCTTTTAGGCAGGAGGAGTTCTTAAAGACTAAAACTAATATTTCCCTTTTTCCAGGCAAAGACTCAACTGAGGAGCTGCATAACAGGCAGTATGACAGATACACTTTTTTTTTTTTTAACTGTGAATCATGCAAAGCTACTCTAGTGGAGTCCCGGAATAAAAATATCGAGCTGGAAATGAGCATAACAGGTCCCTTTTAATATTTGATCCGCATCAGTGAATGAAACCACCACAGTTGCAGCGATGCCGGAGAGATACAGAGAGGGGAAAAGGCAGTGAAAGACAGGAAGAGAAACAATATCAAGGGCAAGACATGTTCTTAGATTCAACAGCAACGGCTAGCTGATGTTTCTTAATGCTGTCATGTGATCTGGGAATGAAACCAGAGTTGAACAGTGCACGCTTGTTCGGCAGTCAGACGAACAGAAAAGTTGCAATCAAGCATTTAGCCGCAATATCTAAACCACTTTACCACAAATGATATGATGCATGAGTGCAGTAAATACAGAAGGTCAAAGGTTCACCAGAGGATCAACAGACAGTTTGGGTAGTATCTTTATAAATTATACCTCTTCGAGCGGTTCTTTTTCACGTCCATATCAGCAAACACCTTAAAGTTTTGTTTACTATTGTGATTATAGTTGACAGTCTGCCTTCAGCTCAGTATAAACACACACACAGACATGTTGGAAATCCACTGAACTGACAAGCAGCATATGAAGAAGTTTTTTTTAATCACAGTAAAAGTGTTTCCCAACATTCTGTACATACGGATGCAGTGACATACTTATAATTGTCTATGGAGAGGCAGAATGATGCAGCAAACTCCGTCAGCTGGAAAACCACCAAAAGTTGAGGAATGTGACATTGGTCGCCTCAGAAACCAGATCAAGCTCCATGACCGCGGGAGCGCCATGACAACCCCGAGGCCAATCAGCAAATCAGCCACGCAGAGGGCAAACAGACTAATAGCTGATGGACAGACTGATAGAGGGGAGAGAAGGAGGACACGGGCGGCGGACAGAGTCGCTGAGATGGAGCGATAGGGCGACGGAGAGGGGTCTGATGGAGCGAGGGGAGACATGCCGTCCATTGGAGGGGAGATCTTAGATACAAGGGAGAAGAGGCAAAAAAGTGGTTTTTATTTGGCAGCAATTATAATAATACAGAAAAAAAAAAGCTTTGATTGTCTTTTAACTGAGCTTTAATAGGCCAGATAACGGATCTGATGACAGCTATGTAAGGAAAGCAGCTCTTTGCATACAAAATAAAATGTCAGCTGTGATAGATTATGGTTGCATTAGTTATTTCTCATGTTATGCAGGTAATTAGAATTAGAACTAAAGCTGTGCTCCATTACGCTTTGGCAAGTTTTTAATATGTTCCATCCATGTCAGCTATTATTTGCTCATTCCGTCGTCATACTATTCGTAACAACAAACTTTAACAGATGTCCAGCAGTGCAAATTATGACTTTTTTGTCTTTTGTGTTTATCCAGGCGCTGTACGAGCCTCCAGTATCTTCCCTATCCTAAGTGTGATCCTGCTCTTCATGGGGGGGCTGTGCATCGCCGCCAGCGAGTTCTACAAGTCACGCCACAACATCATCCTCAGCGCCGGCATCCTCTTCGTCTCCGCAGGTACGGAGGGAAGGAGGCGAACGAAAGGGGAGGGAGGGAGTTAAAAAGGACAACGGCAGACGGGAGTGGAAAGAGGGGGAGGATGGATGGAGGCAAAAAAAAGTGAGGAGGAAGAAGAGAAAAAAGAGAGTCGTAAGAAGAAAAGGCAAAAGGAAGAGAGGATTAGTAGGATGAATGAATTTAATGAAAGTGAAAAGTAAGGAAGAACGGAGGAAGAGGTGTATTTGATGTAGTGGAGGAACAATGATGGAGAGCATATTAAGAAAATCAAGTTTCTGCTACAATCGACTTGGTGTTTTATCATCAAAGTAATGGATGGAAACAAAATGGGACTTGGAGGCAACAACTTCTAAATACAAAACCTCATGATGCTGATGTGGCTAACTGGTTGGTAGACGGTCGCTGAAAGGTGCATTTCATTAGTGATGGTTTTGGACAC